GGTCCCTTTAAACCAAAAAAAAAAAAAAAAAAAAAAAAAAAAAAAAAAACGACAAAAATAAAACCCTCACGAAAATCATTAATTTCACAGTATGTAAATCCACAATGTTTTACTTGATGAAGCCCATGAAAAGATCAGTATGACGTCACAACCGTTGATATGTAAATAATACACTATGAGTTATTTCCACTGTATAAAGGAGTAAAATAGTGACACAAAAGATTATATTATTACTATAATGTTCCTGTTTTGTGCAGTTTCCGCTTATAAAATACCTTATTTAATGCAATATCGGCCATGATAACGTTTTATTGTCTTGACCACGAAAAAAAAAAATCACGAATTTATCATATTAAATTCATAAAAAAACCGTACCATAACAGTTTCATACGTGTATAATTTACTAGTTGCAATGCTTTGATTACTCAGTTTTAGTTACTGAAATAATGTTGGTCCATTTTTTTTTTTACGTCTGTTCTTTCATTCACAAATTATTCCTGTTAAATACATATTTTTTTCCTAAATACTAGTATCTTAACTCTTTTCAAAACTCAATTTACTTAATTTATTGGAAACTGTGATCGATCTCATAAATTGTTTGAACAATAAGAATTATGTACAGAGCAATTAAAACACGGATCCAAGGAAACACCAAAGGTTGGCGTAATAGGAGTAAAGAGCTCTTGTCGACCGGTTTTATCCGCCATGAGTCTTCATTGAGTATTGAGCAGGTAATGGAAAATTTTGCAATCAAAATTAGTATAAAATAGAATGGCGTAAAGTTTGTATAAAATATGACAGACATCACAACACAAAGATTCTTTTGGTTATCATAAAGACCATAGAATTCGCGAATTGTTGCATTTAAACAAAGTTGTTGCAAGTTTTTTAATGTATTTGTCAATAGCACAATCAATTTCACACTCTGATTGAAAAGTGAATCAAGTCTGGGAAAGTTAAAAAAAAAAAAATCCCTCGTCGATAAAAGGCAAACTTCAAGCAAGGGGTTTTGAAAATTAAGCACCTCACAAGATTCGCTCTTCTTTTTATTGCATTAGTCATTGTTATAGGAATGTGGTGCTGAAAGTCAGAATAAAGAGTTAAAAATAATAAGTGATATGCTATTAAATGAAGTACTTTAAAAATAACTTTTAGCAATGGAAATAAATAAAGACAATATTTTTTTAAAGATATACACGCTATAACTTGTGTCAGTTTAAAATAAAGTTGGAAATTTATTTATTTATTTATTTATTTATTTATTTATTTTACCAAATAAAGTTACGAAAATACTGTTAATTACACGATTGAATATGAAAGCGTTATAAAGATGTCAAATTATAATTATATATTTTCCAGAAAGTAATGCCTCTATTTAAATTAATGCATCACGTG